ATCCTCCTGCCTCAGCCTCCCGAGTAGCTGGGACTACAGGTATGTGCCACCATGCCTGGCTGATCTTTTCTCTATATATTTTTAGTTGTCCAGCCAATTTCTTTCTATTTTTAGTAGAGACGGGGTCTCGCTCTTGCTCAGCCTGGTCTCGAACTCCTGACCTCGAGCAATCCTCCCGCCTCAGCCTCCCAGAGTTCAAGGATTACAGGTGTGAGCCCCCGTGCCTGGCCTGAGGAATCTATTCGACCCAGCACAAACTTGCCCAGGGATAGTCTTTGCATACCAAGGGCTGCTGGGAGAGGCAAGCCATATCCAGCCACAAAGAAAGGTCTTGTTGTACCCTTCCTTCCCACCAATGGCTATCTGTCACCTGTGAGATTTATATAAGTAAGAGGGGTGGACCAAGGTCAACTCCAAGGTGATCTGCTACCTCCTCCTATTAATAGACAGCCTGTGTTGTTTGCCTTCCTTTTGTTTGCTCTCTAATTTTCATTTTGTTCCTTTATTTTTTGAACAGGTTATATATTCGCATGGTTCAAAATTCACAAGATAACAATTTTATCAGTTTCTTGTGTTTCCTTCAGAGACAGTTTATGTATATACAAGCAAATATACATATATCTATATATATTCCACCCCTTTTTACAAAAATGGTGGCACACAATACACAATGTTCTGCTCCTTGATTTTTTTTCACCTAACAGTATATCTTTACAATCAATCCATAGAGCTTTGTGTTCTTATTACAGTTGCAGAGTAGTGTATTCCAAAGTATCAATGTACTCCAAGTTATTTAACCAAAAATCTTCTATTGGTAGACTTTCAGATTGTTTGCAGTCCAATTACAAATACAGTCATGCGTTGCATAACAACGGGATACGTTCTGAGAAATGCATCGTTGGGCGATTTCATCATTGTGTAAACATCACGGGAGTACACTTACACAAACCTAGATGGTATAGCCTAGTACACACCTAGGCTACATGGTATAGTCTACTGCTCCTAGTCTACAAATCCACACAGCTCGTTACTGTACTGAATACCGTGGGCAATTGCAACACAATGGTATGTATTTATGTATCTGAACATAAGAAAGGCACAGTAAAAATATGATATTATGATCTTATGGGACCACCGTTGTGTATGCGGTCTGTCCTTGACCATTATGCGGCGCATAATGGTACCATAACTGTACTGAATAAACATAACCAGCACCCAGACAACTTTTAATCAGCAACTTCTCTTGCTTAGAAACAAATTAAGGTTCCAACTAAAGGAGGCATCCAGCTGTCTAAGATAAAGAATGATAATACTCCGGAGGATCAGAAAAGATAGCGCCCTGGCTAGGGGGTGGGGAGGATGGAGCGAAGAGATGTGTAGACTGAAAAAGACTGAATCTGCAGGAAGGGAAATCACAGATGGATTCACTGAGGAAAAAAATTAAGTTACATTGAACTATGTATAGAATGCATGGGATGGGGGGGTGAGTTGTTACTTCAATTAAAAAAAACCTCTGAGTTAAAAACTCCAATATTAAAATGGCATTATATATACTGCTTGCCTAGGAATATAAGTATCAAGCTCTCCAAAATAAATTACAGACCTACTGCAAAATTTGACCCAGTTCTTAGGAAGACAGATTGTAAAACACTATAACGAAGGCTAAAAATCCACATCAAAATCTCCATTGTCTCAGAAGCTTGGGTTTAAAGGAGTCCTCCATTCAGTGGCATTATCATTGGTAAATCAGAATAATTCTATTCCTGCCCTTTGTCATTAATATATGCTTGCCACTTATTGGCAAATGTCTCTGGCTCCTTTTTGGTTGGTGGGTAGAAGGCGAGTGTGATGCAGTTAAGGTAGCAAAATTTTCCCACGAACAGGCACTGCAGACATGACATCTTTCCACACTGCACTCGATGCTCTGAATTATTAATTAGGATGTTAAATATATTGCTCAGTGCATGAGGTTATATTTAACTCTATATACTGACAACCTGAGCTTTGTACCTTCCTAGGTTTGAAATGTAATTTGTAACAACAGGATTTCTTGTGTGTTTATTCAGAAAACCACACTTGTAACAACAGTGGGGAATCATTTTAAGCCGACCCAGAGAGGTGAACAGTCAATTGAATTCTGGGATAGAATCCCCAAATAGGAACTGAGAAAACAGGAATATCCACAGTTAGCTCCTGGTACTCTCATTCCCAGGTTCAACCTTCCAGAAAATTCTGTCTAGAATTATTGAGAAAGACTTGGGCTTTGGCATCACCCAGACCTGGGTTCCAATCTAGATTCTGCCAAAATCTAAGATACAAAAATATTTTGCAATTATTAAAAAGATGTATGCAGATATTTTGTACATGGATGATACTGCAGCATTTCATGTAAAGGTAAAACATTGGAAGAAATTTATTAATAAATATCTGTTGAGATGGGTTTGGAAAAATAAATTATGATACATCCATAATGTTGTGAAATGACCTAGGCCAATTTGGTCAGGCACACATATGAAGCTCTCTTGTAGCCACCATTAGTCCAAGGTTTAGTGGGGCCTACTTATTCCCCACTATCAGATTATGAAGAAAGCAGGTCTCAGGTCCACACTGGCCACATATATACAAACAGGCACAACAACAGTTGTACAACCTCTTTGGTGGACTCAAAGGAGTCCCAGCTCTCAGTCCTTACATGTGAGGTTCATTTGAGGTGAAGGCTACAGGGTTCTAGAAGCAGGATACAGCCAGACTTAGCATGAATACAAGAGGGAAGAATGCAATGGTTGCAGGAAACACAATGACAGCTTCAGGTATGAGTGTCACTGCAGGTCACTGGGGCTTCCAGGGTTGAGACTCACCTGCTGGTGCTATAATTGCCAGGGGTAGGGCTGGGTCAGGAAGAACTACGGACAGGAAGGTGTGGAGGAAGGCAGGGTCCCATCAGGCAGAGAGCATCCATGGCCAAGGCAAGTTCAGGAGAAGAGGACGGAAGGAAATGAGTCCAAGCTCCAGATGGATTAGGTAAAAGCTGATGGAATCTAAATAAAAGTATGGACCTTAGTTAATAATAATGTATTAATATCGGTTCATTGGTTGTGACAAATATACCATACTAATGGAACATGTTTAACAATAGGGGAGACTTGGGTGTACAGTATATGGGAATCCTCTGTGCTATCTTTGCAACATGTCTATAAATCTAAACCTATTCTAAAATAAAAAGTTCGGTGCTTGCTTCGGCA